GTGGCCCTGACCTCCAGTGGCTTTGTAGGGATGGTCTTAGCCACTGGTGTCTTCTCTTCCGTGGTCTAGGCCATGCCGGATCTGCTTACTTTGTGGTTGTTTGTTGACAGCTTTCCTATAAACCTCTCCTGCCCGCCACAGTTTTCTCTTCCCGGCAGAGACCCAGGCTCACTTTGGCTGTTACAGCAATGGAACGGGTGTTAGACATGTTCCTGCAGATATCTGATTGCCGTCTTATTGAATGCAGGCCTCCCTGTGTCCACCATTGATTGTTTTCCCCTTGATTCCCGCTCAGCTTGTGTCCCTGTCCAGCTGTTGTGAATGCAGGTGGTGAGATGGTTTTGTGCAACTGGAATGGCCTTCCTCTGTAAGCGTTATCAGTGTGGAGCCCCGTCAGTGCCGGGTGAAATGGAAGCAAGGCTGTTGGTTTTGAAGACGAGGAGAGTTTAATAGGCAGCCTTTTGTCCCTGCGGTAGCTTTAATCCTTGAGGGTGTTCCCACAGGGCCGCCGGACTGGCAGGACTCAGGAAATAAGACATCACATGAAGGTGACATGCGATGTTAGTTTCCTGGCTGCTGTGACAAACTGTCATGGACTTGGTGGCTTGAAACAGCAGGAAATCATTCTTTAGTATCTGATATCCAAAGTCCAAAATCAGCTTTATCAGTTCCAAATCAAGATGACCACAGGGCTGCAGTTCCTCTTGGGACCCTCCGGAGATCTTGGCTTGTTCTGTTTTCTGGTGACTGTACTGGTCATGGTTTCCTTCTCGGAACCTTCTCTGTGTGCCTGTCTGATTTCCTCGTCCTCTAAGGCCATCTGGGAAGGTCTCTGAGACTTGCTCCATCCACATAGGGCAAGCTCCCTATCTCAAGCCCATGTTACTATGTTGATAAAAACCCCTTGCTTAGTTAGACAGCATTTACAGGTTCCCCGACTTGGGATATGAACCTGTCTTGGCGATTTTTAGTTTCCACATTATTATTACCACGGACCTCTGAGAGACAGCTCAAGGGCAGGGCTGAGGTGATGGTTTGAGGGTAAGGGTCGTGGTACTCTCTGCCATGAGTCATCTGAGGTGCTTCCTGCTGAGTCATCCAAGGTGCTCCCTGCTGAGTCATGCCATTACCTTTTGCCCCTTCCCTTTCCAGGAGTTGAGAGAAGGGGGAGATGGTTGGGAAATGTGGACATTCTTTAACTTAAGATGGTTCAATTTAGGATGACTTGACTGCAATAGCACAAAGGTGACGTATATTCAGTTAAAAAGTACACTTCACTGTACCGCATCAGGGTCATTTCCTGAGCTGGCACTGTGTGGTCCAATGCCCTTTCTCCGTCAGTGGTCATGTGTGATAGTCCATTCCTGACACCCCGCTGTACCGTTGAGCCAGGAGGCGTCACGAATTCCTGCCATGGGTTTATCAGGGCACAGACCCATGATACAAAGAGAGAATCCTGCACTGGTCAGTGTTAATTCTGTCATTTGACAGAATCCAGTGTCCTGGCCATGCCTGTGGGGATCTTTGTCAGAAACTGCTGAGATTACAGAGGAGAGGAGTGAGGTGGGCCTTGTGCATGGCTGGCAAGGGAGGTGGGGATGGGTCCTGGAAATGTACTCTTAGAAACGTGCACCCAGGCAAAGCTCCCCTCTGTCCTCCGGGGAACTTGTTTGTGCCCTTGTCGCTGCTATGACAAATTTCTACCAATTTGATTGCTGGCAGTTGTGAGAGATTGATTCAGATAGAGTTCTGGGTATCAGAGGTCTGAAACCAAAGTGCTGGCTAGACTTTCTGCCCCTCCCGAGGCTCCTTCTCTCTTCCAGGTTTTTAGTGGTCACAGGTGTCCTTTGGCTGGTGGTCCTGTCCCTCTGTTCTCTACCTCCTTCGCGTGGCTTTCTCTGCTGTGCCCTCCGCAAGCTCCCTGCAAAGGAACACTTGGGAGGATGTAGAGCCCATGCTCGTAGTTCAGGTTAATCTTACCACATCCCTTAACCGTGTCTACAAGGGTCGCTTTTCCAAAATAAAGTCACATTGATGTGACCCTGGGATTAGTGCTTCATATCTTTAGATGGTCGTTCTTCAGCCTAGGACAAGCAATTCATGAGCTAAGTAAATGATCTCAACAGTAACTGGCTGCTCTGTTTAAAAAGAAGGTCGTATTTTTGCTAGCTTTTCGACTACTGTTTATTTGTTGTGCTTTCAAGACTTCATTGCCAAAAGGTGTCCTTTTAAAAACACCCACACAGAGCTAAGCAGAGGCAGAACTTGGTAGTGGCTTTTCAGCACCCTCCCATCCCCCAAAAGACAAATCTGTCTGTCTATGTGATAGATATACACATAGGTGCATACATATGAGTGTGTGCATAAAGGGGCACCTGGATGTCTAGGTGACCAATGTGTGTACACGTCTGTCTACACAGTTGACCCCCAGTCAACTGTGACCATCATTCTTTACACACTATCCCCTTTGTTTTTTGAAACAGGGTCTCTTAGTTGCCTGGAACTTGCCAAGTAGGCAAGCCTGATGAGCCAGTGAGCCCTAGGCTTCCACCTGGATTACTAGCACACACCACCACGCTGGGCTGTCCCCTCCCCACTGTGGATTTTAGGGATGGAACTCAGGTCTTCCATTTGCAAGGTGAGCACTTTACCGATGGCACCATCTCTCCAGTCCAATACATATACATTAAGACACAGACAGACAGACATACACACACACACATACACACACACGGGCCAGGATCTATAAAGCTGTAAGGTTAGCATCTGGAATGAGTTTGGGACACATCACAGCCAGAGTGTAACTGTAGCTGGACCATGAGCGCTGGCCTGGGAGTTCAGGGTAAGATGGAAGATGACCTGTTGTGAGGGAGGAGTTGAGCACGCCTCCTCTAGCCTGTCTGTTCCCTTGCTGACTGCCCTGCGAAATTGCTCTGCTCTTCATATCTTTGGGCTAAGAGTTTAGTCCCTGTTAGGAGGAAGCCACAGTAGACTCAGGGCGCACAGTTATGTGCTCTTCAGTCATCTCATTGGCTAGTAACCTCTTGGCTACCACTGTTTATAATGCACTGTAATGTGCAGAGGGAACAGGTCCTTCGTTAGCAATGGGGGTCAGTGTGCAGGGATGTGGAGGGGGTCCTGCTGGCCATCTTGAGTTGGCTTATTAGGGTGTAGGGACACCCAGGGGCAAGGAGGGTGGCAGAAGTACTTAGGTAGTGTAGACATGTCTCAGAGGGTTGAGGGAACCAGATACTGGAGACGGGCTGCACCCTGGGTGGTTTATGTTGGCCTGATGAGAAAATGTGCAGCTGCTTCTGCGTGCAGCAGTGAGCGAGCCCCAAAGCAGTTCACCCAGAAACCAGGGACAGCCTCCTCCATCCAGTGTCTATATCCATATCCAATGTGAAGTATAGACTGAATTCAGGGGAGGTCTGGGTCGTGGAATTGTTAGGCTACTGATGCCGTAGTCCAGGCTGACTGCTACCGGCCATTGTTATGCTAATTTAATTTGTCTTTGGCTTGTTCTTTTTCTCATTTCCTGTTTATTAATAGTATTTTTATAGCTCCATTGAGGCTTAATTGACAGCTACAATGTGCACGTGTTTATTGTGTGCAGTGTGCTGTTTTGATATGTGTGGATGTTGTGAAATGATTTCCACCCTCAGGCTCGTTAGCATCCCTGTCACCCACATTTCCTGTGTATGTGCTGAGTGTGTTGAAGCCCACGGAGCATTACTGTTATCCGCAGTCACCTTGGTCTTTGTGAGATCTCGAGTCTTAGTGACCATGAGCAACATCCAGAGTGTACTATCTGAGCCTCCCACCGCAAGCATATCTATTTACATACAGACCTACCTTTCATTTATGTGTAGAGCTGTACCCGTGTTCGGTCGCACTGAGTGTGCTGTGCACCGGGTACCAAATCTGGTTCTTCAAAAGGAAACAGAGAGGAGTGTGAGGCACACATGCTTCCGTTGCACCTAGGAGCGTCAACATCTCTTACGGAGCATCCTCCAGAGGTAGCTGTGCTGGGTGTGAGGGAGTCAGCATGCCAATGGACTGAGAGGAAGGACAGATGGGGAGATGAACCCCTGGCAGGGTGAACCGGAGTCCTGTTCACTGCCCGGCCACACTGGGAGGGGGATCGAGGGGGAAGAGAGGGTGTATCTTAGGACCTGGAAGGGGAAGAGGTGACTCCCCAAAGGAAAGGAGAAAGCTTAGCGTGCTGCCGATTTGGGTGGATGATAGAGTCTTCACCTTTTGTCTGCTCTCCTTCCATATTTAGGACAAGGTCGTTGTGTGGAAATGGCCCAGAAGGGGCGTCTGTGGGTGGTTGCTATGTGAGGTGGGATCCTGACAGCGGGGTGAGAGTTTACCCGAAAGGTGATTTGACAGGGAGCCACCACCGGGTACCAGAGGCAGTGTAACAGCAACCTGCACAGCTCACGGGGTGGGCAGAGCTGAGCCTGAGAGATCTGCATCAGTGACGGTCCCTCCCCAAGCCCTCTAACTGTGCCCGAGAACTGAAGATGGGCTTCTAAGTGTAGCTGTTTGCGAAGTGGGGCCTTGGGAATCACCAGACCCGAAGGAAGCAAGTGGCAGAGTCCTTAGTTCCAGAAGAAAGTAGTGTCCCATCTCAGGACCACTCTGTGGGGAGCAAGTTTGACGTGGTCTCTTTGCTGAGTTGTCAAGATTCAGGTTTGCTTAAGTTAACGCTTTTTTTTTCCTTTAAAGGAATTTTTTGATGTTCTAGTTTTCTCATCGGATGCTATTTGATGAGCTGGCTCGCTGTTTTATTCATGGCGCTAGGAGGTGACGCATGGCCTCACGTGTGCTAGGCAGGGACTGTGCAGCTGTGCTCTTCCCAGCCCCCACCACTCTGCATCAGACCCAGGTTTCTCTGGGGCCACATCTTCCCCAGAGTTCTGGAAGCCTCCCTAGGACCGAATGACCTTTGCCTACAGTGTCTGGTAACAGCTCTGCTTTCTGGTTCACCGCAGGTCGCCATCAAGGTCATCGATAAGAAGAGAGCCAAAAAGGACACCTATGTCACCAAAAACCTGCGGCGCGAGGGCCAGATCCAGCAGATGATCCGGCACCCCAACATCACGCAGCTGCTGGACATCTTAGAGACGGAGAACAGCTACTACCTGGTCATGGAGCTGTGCCCCGGCGGAAACCTCATGCACAAGATTTACGAGAAGAAGCGCCTGGATGAGGCCGAAGCGCGTAGATACATCCGGCAGCTCATCTCTGCGGTGGAGCATCTGCACCGGGCAGGAGTGGTTCACAGGTGAGAGCCGCGCATGCGCCGATCCCTGAGCCTGTACTGAGGGGACCCTCCTAGCAAGGCTTCACAGTTGCGGCTCTGGGTCTTGGCTCCGCCCTTTAGCGGCTGTTTGTTCCTGGGTACATTACTTGACCCCTCTGAACAGCCTCTTCATCCGTGAAATGGGAGTGCTGACATGCCTCTCTCCAGTGAACCAATGTTGGGCCAGATCCCTAGCAGTGTTTGATACATAGAAACACCAGGCCAGGCTCTTCTTACTTCCAAAGGCAGCCATCTTGGCTTCCCTTCCGCAGCTTTGATAAAATACCCCAGCGAAGGCAACTTAAGGGGGAAAGGCTCAAAATTTTAGGTCACACTGTGATGACATCAACAGCGTCAGGAGCTTGAATCAGCTAAATATTGCATTCGCGATAGAGAGCAGTGAGCGCCCACATGGCAGCTTACACCTGTCTGTAACTCCAGTTCCAGGGGAACCTGACACCCTCACACAGACATACACACAGGCAAAACACCAATAAACATAAAATTAAAAATACCTTTATTTATATAAAAAAGAAAAAACAAAAAAGCTCAAACCCAAAGCACCCAACCAACCCAAAACAAACAAACAAAACCAGAAACAAACAAAAACAAAAAGGAGAGAGAACAGTATGTGGCTCTCTAATAAATGTTCTTTTATTTTTATAGAATTTTAAGTAATTGCCATATTCTTGAGAAAAATTGAAAGTCGTTTAGCTCATTTTAAGAAGCAAAACCAAGGCATAAAATGCATATGTATGCATTTTTACATGTATACATGTGCATTTGAATGCATGTTGAAATGTGAAATTGGGATAGAATGATAAAATTCACAATAGAAAATGCACAACTGGTTTAATGGTTTTAAGAATATTCAGAGTTCTGCAACATCACTACATCCAATTTAGAAATAGTTCTTATCCCTCACCGAGAGCCCTGTCCCTACCGGCAGTCACTCACCATTCTTCCATCTCAGCGCCTTTGGCTAACTCTTCGTCTGCTGCCTGTCTCTCTGGACTCGCCTGTACCATGGTCTCGCGTTGCTGGTGTCTTAGGCAAGTGATACTGCTCAGATACCTCCATAATTTGCTAGTGCTTTCTTCTTCACAGTTAAGTGATATTTCCGCTTATGGATTCACCATGGTTTATTACTCTCTCCATTTGCGAATGGACACTTGGGTGGCTTCCTCCTTGGGGCCATTGTGAACAGTGCTTTGGCAAGTGTTCATAGTGGACTTTTCCTGTGGCTGTGTGTGCCCACTTCTGCTGCTGCTGGGGAATTCTTTCCTGCACGGGGAGTTACCAGGTCTAAGGTTACCTCTCCAGAAACATGTATTTTCTTTACATTCAACTTTGAATGCTGCCTCTTCGCTTTCTGAAAAGCCACCCGCTTCTGATCAGTGAAGGACTCCACCTAATAAATCCCAGCACTTCCCAGTTCTACAGGGCTGAGTTCTCCCCAGTGAGTCAGGCACCTGGAGTGCTCTGCCCTGCGTCTGAATCTAGGGGCAGCTTCAAGGACACCCCGTGGCTTGCTGCTTTTCTGGACAGGCTTTGGCTGGTCACCATCTGCTCCTGTCATTTAGTCCCTGCTGAGGTGAGGACCCTCTCCTTACAGGCAGCCTTAGTCACACCCCCTCAGGCGGTTTCTCTGTCAGCATGGAAGGGAACATTAGCAGTGGAAGGGAACATTAGCAGTGTGTGTCACTGCTTTTGACTTGAGTGTCCTGAGCTGTCACCTCCGGCCTGTTATAGGGGAAGGATGCAAAAAGGGTGCCTGGCTCCGTCTCTGTTTGCTCAGATGACAGAGGGAAACCTCAGGACTGAGTCAGCTTGGACTACTGACTCTGTGGGTCACAACAGAAAACAGAAGCAGGACCGCAAGCTGTGGAGTGTTTCCCTGGACTTGATATTTTCTTCCCAGGGTTCTGTGCTAAGTTAGGCGAGTGCTGGGCTTCTGAGGGTTGGAGGACAACACAGGAAGCTGAAGCGAATCCTGTGGGGGTGCCTGTGGGTCTCCCCTGCAGGAAATTCTCAACAGTCCCTCTAAAGCAATTTTTAACAAACTCCAATCCCGCAGTGCAATTACTGTCAGAATGTCAAAGGAAGGAATTTAATAATGTTTTGATAGCAGAGACAGGACGCTTTTAAAAAGCTCTCAACTCCAGCTTTTTCTGTCTTCCCCTCTCTCCTTGGAAATAGTGTTATAATCTAATACCGGCTGGAGCTCTGGCCTTTTAGAGTTAGAATAGAGGGAGCAGGAAGATGGACAAGTATAGTTTGCTTTTCTCTCTGGAATTCATAGTGTGTGTGTGTGTACGTGTGCATCTTCCATGTGTGTGTGAGAGCGTATGTATGTGTGTGTGAGTGTATCTGTGTGTACATGTACGTCTGCATGTGTGTGTGAGTGTATCTGTGTGTGAGCATGTACCTGTGTGTGCACGCATATGTATGTGTGTGAGCATATGTATGTGTGTACATGTGCATCTGCATGTGTGTGTGTGAGCGTGTACCTGTGTGTGTGAGCATATGTATGTGTGTGTACATGTGCATCTGCATGTGTATGTGAGCATATGTATGCGTGTGTGAGCATATGTATGTGTGTGAGCATATGTATGTGTGTGAGCATATGTATGCGTGTGTGAGCATATGTATGTGTGTGAGCATATGTATGTGTGTGAGCATGTGCCTGTGTGTGAGCATGTGCCTGTGTGTGAGCATATGTATGTGTGTGAGCATGTGCCTGTGTGTGTGTGTGTGTGTGTGTGTGTGTGTGCATCTATGCAGGAACATGTGCATGTGCAGGCCAGAGGTTGACATTGGGTCTCTGTCAGTTGCTTTTCCACCTTAGTTTTCGAGACAGCCTCTCACGCGGCCTTGAGCTTGCTGATTTGATTTCAGTGGCAGGCCCTGTTTCTTCCTCCTCGGTGCTGTGTCTACAGGCATGGTCCTCTGTGCCTCGCTTTTATGAGGGTGTTGGGGACCTGAACTCAGAATCTCGTGCCTGTACAGCAAGCACATTAGTGCCTATGCTGTCTCCCCAGCCCCCTGCAGCCTAGTAGGTGATGTCATCCTCCATTCACAGGCGGCTTTCTTCCAAATGTCTTGACTTTCAAAAATCTCACACGACTGACTTTTAACTAACTAATTATTTATTTGTTTTTTTGATTTGGCATTTTTGATTTAGGGGCCATCAGCATATTTTTGCCTGCCACTCCTTTGGTCCCCGTTCTGCCCCAGTGGTGGAGAATTTTCTTTTTCATGTGGTAGTGGAGGAGCGAAGGTCATAAATGATTCTAAGGTTAGAGAAGTTAGCATTTCAGTGAAGCCGTGGTCTCTGATGGGAGGAAGCCTTGGGAGTGAAGAGGAGGAAGCAGGCGATAGGGATGAAGGGATGGAAGGGATGCCACTGGCTGCCTGGATACTGAGCCTTAAAAGGCTCTGGGTGCTTTTGTTGGAGGATGTTAAGCTCTCAGAGTTCTGAGGATTCGAACTTGGGCCTCACACCTGTGCATCAAGCGCTTCCCCACACTGAGCTGTTGCCCAGGCCTCTCTGCCCACAGTTTGTTTTATTTACCTCCCCTAAAATGCTCTCGCAGCAGGATGTCGCCATCAGACAATTCAACTGCTGTACGTGAATTGACCGTTGAACCCGCAAGAACAGCATGATGGAAAACTAATCTGAGACTCATCTGGTCATTCAAAGTAGCAGATTCCAACCAAAGATGGCTAGAGACACAGCAGCATTCCGGAATAATATGATACCACCTGTCCCTAAGCAGGAAGAGACAAGCCACAGGCCTGCGGGGCCAGAAGAAAGGGCTCCGTGATCAAAGGGGAACTGGAGCCCATGCTTAGACAAGTGTTAGCACCTCCCTGCCCAGGGCCGTGACCCTCCTTATTCATCACCATTGGGGAGGTGTTGTCCTCCCTGAAGGGGGACAGCAGTGGGAAAGAGGGGTGCCCTTTGTTCTCTCAGACTGACATGAAGCAGGCACGACTGGGCAGGTTGTATAAATCCTTTTAACTTTTAGGATTTGTTCCTTAGCAAGGGGAGGAGAAGGCAGGTCTGGTGGAGGGATCCCGTCTGTCACTTCCAGGACCTGCTGGGGATCCCGGGGCCTTCTGTGGGGAGCAGACATCTGTCTGTGGATACTGGATACAGCCAAGGTTGTGTGTGTGGTTGGGTTTGAGAAACAGGGTCGTGAATGGTAGTTTTAGTCCAAGCTCGTTGTGGATAGACGTGTACGGTCAGCAACCAGGACTTAGACGGCTGCTCTCTAGACTGTCCCTGCTTATAGGCTACGGTGGGCAGGTGATTCAGGCTTCCTGTGTCTTTGGCAATATGTTTTACAAGGACTTTGGGTCATCCACTGTGTGTGGTGACGGGTCAACGAGTGTCAAGTGTTTGGAGCGAGCTTCTCTGTAGGGCTGAGTCTGTAGGGAGTGTCGGAGTCCCCGTCTGTGACGAGCTCTGGACGCTCACGGCCACCACTGACTGTCCTCTGCCCGCGTTGCCCTCACCATCTTTCTCTGGTCCCGCTTCGAGCCTGCTTCCTCTGGGAAACGCTTCCGGCCAGGCACCCTGGTCATGTCCACACACACCAAGCATTTACTTCCCACACTCATGATCCTGGGAGCGTTTTGCCTGGTCTCTCTCTGTCTTCTGCCCAAACTCCGCCTTAGACCTGAGCTCAGCCCAGGGCTCCTGGAAGGAAAACGGAATGAATTCAGCAAATGTCAGTCTTGGTACTAATGGTGCTTTTCTGGGATCAGTCCCAGGTTCTTTGTGGAATATTCCATGGTCTCCCTGTGATTTCAGGGGAAGTTTCTTGGTTCACTTGGTGTGAGTTTATTTACTTATTTATTACTATTTTTTCGTTGATTAGCAATTTGCTTGTGGAACATAATAGCAAATAAATATTTCATTTTAGATAAATAGATCAGGCTTTACAGGTTGTATGTGTCTTTTATACCACCAAGTC